CATGGCTCCCTTTTATCTTCTTATCTCTTTATCTTTAAAGAGTGCTTTTGTGTCTCTGATGAATCTGTAATGATTTATAGTCCTTAATGCAAACAGAAACGTCCACTTTCTATTTCTGAACAATCATTGAGTAGCGGCTGCAATCAGCTGTGTGCTGTCAACATCCCCTCCTTAGCTCTGATTACTTCTGTGATTAAGACTCCAAACTGTGACCTCTGGTGTATGTTTGTGTGAGGGAGAGACAGTCAAGCACAAAGACGTATGAAAAAAAAAAAGGATGAGACTAGAAGAGCTTTCTGTTACTGAATACTTCTTGACCTGAAGTTGTTAACCATTTCATGTTTAAACTCTTGAAAATATCAATGATAAAAGGAGAGCTGCAGTTTTCATTGTTTAAAATCTTCCACTAGGATGCAGGGAAGTTTAAAATTATTCATGTATATATTACAGTGTCCTCAGAACTCTGGAATTGTATTATTTACTGTTGCACCAGTATAAAATGAAAAAAAGAGATGTGATGCAAAAATAAAAGAAGAGATGATGAAATAAATAAAAAAAACTTGGCTAATTGTAGATAAGATATTTTGCATTTTATTTTTCTTAGCTTTTGGGACGACTTCCGTAATTTTCATACCTCGAGGACTTTTCTGTCTTTGTGTGTTTTAAAAGGTCTTTAAAGTTGCTGGGGTTTGACACTAGTTTTTATAACTAGTGATGTCTAGCTAAGTCTAGACCTAAATTTATGGAATAATACCAACTTTACCTGCAAAATTATGCTGAAGTCTGTCTGAGTTGCAGCCTGAATTTCCTGTTTTTAGATTCAGAGTTGCTATGTGATGGTGCACTGTGACTCTGCTGTACAAGTACACCTGTGAGGTTCAGAGTATTGTCCCCTGGGTTGCACCTGGGTGCCTCGGCTCTGTTTCAACTCCACTCATGACTGAAGATGAAAGTTGTTATAAAAAGCATGGAAATATACCAAACACAAGCACAATATTAAAAAGAGACACTGCTCTCCCAGCTATTGCTTCTTTTGATTTTATTTGTATTTAGTTTTAAATCTTTTTGAGAGAATTTCAAAGTAACATTATGTTTCTTTATAAAAAAGTGTGAAAATGATTAAAAGTTCTCAGGATACAGTCATTGGAAAAAGACAGTCCGCTTTCTTTTAGTTCTAGGGTTTTATGTGTTTTCAGGACATCACAATAATTATCTAGTCTATACCCAGTTTAAAAACGGATTTAAATCTAACGTTAAGTGTACAACGATGTCAGAACAATGTTCATGTTTTTGTATTTAACATCTCTTTATAATGTAGCTGTTTTTTGTTTCATTTTTATATATATTTTTTCTATTTACTTTTTATTTTATATGCTTTTTATGTGATTGTCTATTGTTGTTTGCACCTTCTCTGTATTCTTTGTTAAATCAGGTCTCTCTTGTAAATGAGTCCTCAAGGCTCAATAAGACTAACCTGTATAAATAAAGGTTGAATGAACAATACATCCCCTTTATTTTTGCTCTGGTAATGGACAGGTTCGTTTGTTAAGATGAGGCAGGAATCCCTGTGGACTATGACTTTTGCAAATGACATTGTGATCTGTGGTGAGTCCAGAGAACAGGTGGAAGATAACTTAGAGAGGTGAAGATAGGTGAAAGAAGAGTTATGAAAGTCAGCCATACAGTGGTGCCTAAATGTTTGTGAACCCTTTAGAATTGTATATATTTGGTATGGTATGGTATAAAGTTTATTCATTTTAAAAAAGTACAAAATAATTCCATAACAATATAAAAAAATATACAAAAGATTTAAAATGAAATGCAGCAGAAAGAAGAAAAAATCTTATTATATCTGCCCCTTTTTCAAACAATTATTTCAATCATAATAATTTTCAAGATTTCTGCATATATATGACCTAAAACATCATCAGATTTTCACAAAAGTCCTAAAGGTCGATAAAGAGAACCCATTTAAACAATTAGAGCAAAAAATATTATACTTGGTTATTCATTTATTGAGGAAAATAATCCAATATTACATTTTTGTGAGTGGTAAAAGTATGTGAACCTCCAGGATTAGCAGTGAACTTGAAGAAGAAATTAGAGTCAGGTGTTTTCAATCAATGGGATGATGATCAGGTGTGAGTGGGTGCCTATTTAATATTAAGAACATGGATCTATCAAAGGGCAGCACGGTGGCGCAACTGGTAAAGCTGCTGCCTGTCAGCAAGCAGGTCCCTGGTTCAAATCCCGGTCCGGGGTCCTTTCTGGGTGGAGTTTGCATGTTCTCTCCGTGCATACGTGGGTTTTCTCCGGGTGCTCTGGTTTCCTCCCACAGTCCAAAAACATGCATGTTAGGCTGATTGGTAACTCTAAATTGTCCCTAAGTGTGAGTGAGAGAGTGAATGGTTGTTTGTCTCGTTTGTCTCTATGTGGCCTTGTGATGGACTTGCGACCCGTCCAGGGTGTACCCCGCCCCTCGCACAGTGATTGCTGGACATGGGCACCAGTGACCCCCGTGACCCAAAATGGAATAAACGGGTAAAGATAATGGATGGATGGATGGATCTATCAAAGGGCAGCACGGTGGCGCAACTGGTAAAGCTGCTGCCTGTCAGCAAGCAGGTCCCCGGTTCAAATCCTGGTCCGGGGTCCTTTCTGGGTGGAGTTTGCATGCACTCTCTGTGCATACGTGGGTTTTCTCCGGGTACTCCAGTTTCCTCCCACAGACCAAAAACATGCATGATAGACTGATTGGTAACTCTGAATTGTCCCTAGGTGTGAATGAGAGAGTGAATGGTTGTTTGTCTCATTTGTCTCTATGTGTCTCTGTGATGGACTGGAGACCTGTCCAGGGTGTACCCTGCCCCTCGCACAGTGATAGCCAGACATGGGCACCGGCAACCCCCCGTGACCCAAAATAGAAGAAGCGGGTAAAGATAATGGATGGATGGATGGATCATCAAAGTCTGCTCTTCACAACATGTTTCTGGAAGTGTATCATGGCAGGAACAAATTACATTTCTGAGGAGCTCAGAAAAAGAGTTGTTGATGCTCATCAGGCTGGAAAATGTTACAAAACCATCTGTAAAGAGTTTGGACTTCACCAATCCACAGTCAGACAGATTGTGTACAAATTGAGGAAATTCAAGAGCATTGTTACCCTCCCCACACTACTGAAAGCAAAGTTTCACATACTTTTACCACTCACAAAAATGTAATATTGGATCATTTTCCTCAATAAATAAATGACCAAGTATAATTTTTTTGTCTCATTTGTTTAACTGGGTTCTCTTTATCTACTTTTAGGATTTTTGTGAAAATCTGATGTGTTAGGTCACACACACCCACACATATATATATACAGAAATATAGAAAATTATAAAGGTTTCACAAACTTTCAAGCATCACTGTAGTAAGACAGAGTACATGTGTGTGAAGGAGAAGGAGGCAGGTGGAAAAGTGACTTCAGAAAGAGCACAAAGGTGCAGGACTTCCAAGTACTTAGGCTCGACTGTCCAAGAAAACAGAGAGTGTGGTAAAGAGGTGAACAAGAAAGTACAGGCAGAATGAAGTGGATGAAGAAAAGTTTTTGTGACTTTGGGTAGTGACCAAAAGAATGAGCTCACACTTACAGGCATTTGAAATGAGTTTCCTCTGCAAGGTAGCTGGACTCTCCCTTAGATATAGGGTGAGAAGTTCAGTTATCCAGGAGAGACTCGGGGTAGAACTGCCACATCGAGAGGAGCCGGTTGAAGTGGTTTGGGCATCTGATAAAGATGTTTCCTGGGAGTCTTCCTAGGAAGGTGCTTTGGGCATGTCCAACTGCGAGGAGACCTAGTAGGAGACCCAGGACACGCTGGAGAGACTATGTCTCTCAGTTGGCCTGGGAACGCCTTGGAGTCCTCCCAGAAGAGCTGGAAGAGGTGGCTTTGGAAAGAAATGTCTGAGCCTCCCTGCTCAAGCTGCTGCCCCCGTGCCCTGACTTTGGAACAAGCGGAAGATGATGGATGGATGGATGTTAAAAATGAAGTTGACAGGTAAACGACAAAGATAAAGGCCAATGAGGAAATATATAGGTGCAGTTAGAAATGACATGAAGGTAGCTGGTGTGAAGACAAAGGGAGATGGAGGTGGATGAGTTGCTGTGTAAGTTTTTTCCCCCCAATTTTTTTTTTGAACATTTAGACATCTCCAAGGTTAGAGTCCATTTGTTTTTGTACCAGTTTTTTTTTTTTTTTTTAAGTCTGTAGGCAAAAAAAGACAGATATAAAAAATAACATGAATAAGACTTATCCAGTGCATATACATTGGTACATTTAATAATATCAGTAAAAACAACTAAATATAGAATTACTATTGCCATGAAGGCCTTAAACCCAAGTCCTCAACTTCCATCAACTTGACCTCATCTGGTAAGGTGAAAACTTGTTTTTTTATTCCTTTTTTACTGCAACAAAAAATTGTTCTGCATTAGCCTCAAGGCTTGCTATCTGTTGTAAATGACTGTTTACAATACTTTCTGATGACCAAAGTAATTTTGCCAAATTTATTTATTTTTCTTTGCTTTAAAAAATCTGAAACTTTTTTTTCATTGTTTAGTGGCACGAATACAAAACTTTGAAAACAAACAACAAAATGCACCTAAAGATGCTAAGAAAAAAAGACAGACTGGTGTTTTTTTTTATGTTGTTGTTTTTTAAATCCACTTTACATCTATAACCACATGTGATGAACTGGCAACCTGTCCAGGGTGTACCTCATCTCTTGCCCATTCCTTGCTGGATATAAGCATCAGTTCTCCAAGAGCTTGAACTGGTTACGTGTTAACAAAATGGATGGATGAATAAATGGGTGGAAGAGTGTTTTTGTTGTTTTTCCAAATAATGTTCCACTGTAGACTAAGTTCACTCAGTTTTGCATGCAGCTGAGTTGGCAAAGGTCCACCTGAAGAAAAAAAAACAACCTTCTTTGGTCAGCATGGCAGCCCAGTTTCTGTGCTACTCATCATGTTGGACCTGTCCTGGTATTAGAACATCACTCTCCAGTCCTGCAGCCGAGCTGATCGGTGTGACTGTCTCCAGAGAAATCTCTGCGTTTTCCTGCAGTTGGACTGTAGCAGAAAGCAGCGGTAACCTGTTGTGGCTTGGTGAACCAACAGAAATGTTGGACTCCTCTTCAAACTGCGCACTCATGTCCTCCAGACAATCTGACCCTGCGCACAGATTATGAGGACGTTGTTGCAGCTGAGCAGGTACTAACAGCTCTTTGTGAAGCGTTGTGTCATGGTGGTAAGAGACAAGCTCATTGCTGAAGTTCACGGCTTCCACCGCATTGTTGGAGCAGATCTGGTTGCAACCCAAAATGGTAGTAAAAGCTCGACGGAAGTCTGCATTAAAGGCATAAATGACCGGGTTGAGGGAAGAGTTGGCCCAGCCAAACCAGACAAAAACAGTGAATGTGGTGTCACTTACACACGGTGGGTCACAGAAGGGGACAGTGCAGTTCAGAACAAAAAATGGCAACCAACAAAACACAAACACCCCCATTATGATTGAAAGAGTCTTCAGAACTTTGGTTTCCTTTTTGAATGATGACTTTAAGCAGGCCTCGTCATTAACACGGTGCTGCGGCTGGTTCCTGTTCACACCATGACCTTGAATCTGTGCCTGCTCTGCTGCCCGTTCCAAAGAGGCAATTCGGCGAATTTGGATCTGAGCAATGCGGTAGATGCGAGTATAGGTAGCGATCATGATCACTACAGGGATGTAGAAGCTGATGAGAGAAGAAGAGATAGCATAGGTTTTGTTCAGGTTGGCAACACAGCTCATGGCTACAATGGTGCTGTCGTTGGTGACGTTCCTGACGAATAACAACCCCGCATGCTCCATCATCACCTCTTCCTCAGCCCTATGCCAGTTCATCTGCACCGGGATAAGGGAGATGAGAATAGAAAGCATCCAAGCCACTCCAATCATTACAAACGCCACCCGGTGGGTCATTTTCCGCTCGTATTTAAAAGGGCTGGCGATGGCCCAATACCGATCCACACTGATGATGCACAGGTTAAGGATGGAAGCCGTGGAGCACATAATGTCAAAGGTGATCCAAACATCGCAAAAGCGTCCAAACAGCCAGGTGTTGGTGACCTCCGTGATGGCCTCCCATGGCATCACCAGCACAGCCACAAAGAGGTCAGACACAGCCAGTGAGATCACAAAGAAGTTGGTGACTTTGGAGCGCAAGTGGCGGAACTTGATGACAGCCGTGCACACTAGAATGTTCCCGAGCAACGTGGACACAATAAGCAGGAAGAGGACGCAACCAATGAGGACACGCAGTCCACCTCCACTTCTTCTGTCCTCCTCCTCTTCACTCATCCCATCCAGTTCTGACAGAACCTGGGAAAAATTACTCCACATGGTGTAGTTTTCCATTTTTATGAAAAACAAAACAAAACAAAAAAAAATATATATATATATATACTCTAAAATGTATGTTTCCTAAAAGAAATAATCCTCCCGGGGGTCAATCGAAATGTAGATCAGTCCAAAAAAGGCATGTCCCGGAAAAAGAAAAATAACTGACAGCAAATCATCACCGATGCATTCTGTAGTTCCTCTGTCTTCTCTACGAGAGAAAATATTTCTGTCTGTCTTTAGTGGGTGTGCGACTCGGAGTGAGCTCATCTCTCTGTGCTCAGACTCACTGTATCTCCTCAGCCCAGGTGATGAATTACTCTCATCCACTGAGTCCATCTCTGCCTCAGTTATAGGAGCTTAATCTCGTGCAGAATCAAGTTAAATGTTATTGTTTCAATGACTTGTTCACAGCGACAGAGCACATGAACAAAAAAAGGAAATTTTTTGGACCAACATGGACTCATTTTGAAAAAAATTATACTGCAAAAAAAAAAAAAAAGAGTTCTCATCTTGTAAATCTAATTATGTATTTTACATAAACTGATTCATTCAACCTTTGTTTATTTCTTATGATTGTTTAATAAATAGCAGAAAAAAACTGCATTAAAATCTTAAATTATCAACAACAAAAAAAGAGATTCCCTTTTTGAAACATCTTTTTGTATATATCTGCAATATATTTAAACAAAAACAACATAATGAAAAGTAACAGAATCTTAACACTGTGCATTTTTAGATGTTAACAAACATTATAAGCAATAATGGAAAATGCATTTCTCTGTTTTATTGAGAAAAAAAAAAGGAATTGCTAGTATTTATTGTTTTGGACAAATGTGACATTGGAAATTGTCTTTTTTTTTATATACTAATGGTAGTTTTTTTTTTCCTTTGTCATTTTATTGTATCCTAAATTTTGACCTTTACTAAAATATTTGTTGCTTATATATTTATTTTAAATATTAATTTTATAGTAACTGTTTGTTTAATTTTAATGTTCAGTAATCTGTTTTATTTGTTTTCTCTGAATTTACAGTCAATCAGGACTATACATACATGCATACATACATACATACATACATACATACATACATACATACATACATA